GAGAAGGTTTGCCTTTTTTGCCCTAAACCCTAAACATCTATACCCTAAACCCCCTAAACCCTAAATAAACCTCGAAACCCTAAAAAACCCCAAAGCCTAAAGCCCCCAAATCCTAAACCACTAAACTCCTAAATCCTAAGCCCCTAAACCGTTGCAGCAAGAGCCGGGAATCCGATAAACTGGGTTCTTGTTAAGGGAATCGTTTAAGTTACCATAATAAGAAAACCATACTATTTGCGCTAGATATCCCTCTTGTGGTACCTTAAACCTTAAACCCTAAACCCTTAAAGGAACCCTTACAGATCTCCAAAAGGAACCCTCACAGATCTCCAAAAGGAAGCCTATTATGGGCTTAGATTATCCCATAACAATAGGGTTTAGGGTTTAGGGCTTAGGGCTTAGGGTTTAGGGTTAGAACCCAGTAAGCGGATCCCTCCGGCCACCGGACTCTGCGCCTTTAGGCCTCAACTTCCGCAAAGTTCCGTCTAGTCAGTAAAGGCTCTAACCCTGCGGTCTGCCCAAACCAGAAAGGGTTTGGGGTTTAGGGTTTAGAGTTTGGGGTTTGGGGTTTAGGGTCGGTTTAGGGTTTGGGGTTTAGGGTTTAGGGTTCTGGGTTTGGGGTTTGGGGTTTAGGGTTCTGGGTTTGGGGTTTAGGGTTCAGGGTGTAGGGTTTAGGGTTTAGGAACTGAACCTCAGATTCCCAAAATGCGCAATCAGGAGCTTAAGCCCCCTGCGACTGGCGGAGGTCAAGCTTTGAAGCAAAACCCTTAACCCGTAGTTCCTACTGTAGAAACCTACTGTCCCTAAACCCTAAACGGTAAACCTGAAACCCTAGACTCTAAATCCCTGCTGTTGGAGCTTCGGGTTTGGAGCTCTTGGGAGTTTTCGAGCTTCGGGGACGTAATTTACCTTATTTCTCGGTTGTAGTTGCTTCTGTTGGGTTACCTTATAGGGCAACAACTATAAATTAAAAGAACATGTGATAGCCAAAAAAGGAACCATAGTGGAGACTAAAGGTAGGGTCTAGGGTTCAGGGCGTGGGTACAGTTGTAGGTACGATTAACCCTACAACCTAAACCCTAAAACCTCAACTCTACTAGAATTTGGGATTTAACTAGGCCTTTCAGGCAAGGATCTATGCTCTACAAGGTTAGAGTTGAGGGTTTAGGGCTTACGGGTTTGGGGGCTTAGGGCGTAGGGTTTAGGGTTTGGATTGCACTTGGAATCTTGGTGACCAGCATCCACAAGCAGGCTGCAGCAGGGAACAAGGAGGATGGTTTCAAAGTTTAAAGTTGAAGGTTGCAGTGTTTGAGAGCTTCAGGATCGGGGGCTGATCTGAGCCCCACCCAAGCCCTAAGCCCTCAACCCTAAACCCTAAGCCCTAAACCCTAAGCCTGAAGCCCTAAACCCTAAGCCTTCCTAAGCCCTACGCCCTAAGCCGACCTTGCCAGGGATTGTGTCGGTTCCCTCCTTGTCCAGCACGGCCAGGATCAAGCTGCAAGCTTTGGCCCAGCCCCTGGCCATGGTGTTTAGCAATGTTGGCCTGGGCGGCTGTGCATAAGATGACCCCTTCCAGCTAGGGCTTTAGGGTTTAGGGTTTAGGGTTTAGTTTCCCAAGCTCATCGAAGGTCTTTGCGAGGTCGGCGTAGTTGAGAATGGGTGCATCCCAGTCGGCAGCATCTAGGGTGAACGTGGCACCCTCGGACGAGCTCTTAAATGAGGCACAGCGACCGTCGGCGTCTCCATCTCCTCCTTCTGCATGCTGACCTCGACTCTGCGGCCATCAGAACCTTGTTGGGGAAGGCGGATTGCACGCGAGCACCCGAAATGGCGAGCAGTCCAACTTAAAGGTGCCGAAAGTAGAAGAAAGCTTAAAGTGGTGTCGTCTGCAGATGACTCAGCAAATGTGGTGGAAGTCAGATTGTCGTGAAGTGTCTGCTCGACCCAAACCCTAAACCCTAAGCCCTAAGCCCGAAACCTTAAGCCCTAAGCCCTAAACCCAAAGCCCCCACCCAACCTGCCTGGTCTGCATCCACCAGGGTGTGATGAAACCACCTTTCACCTAGAGCGAGTTGGCTTTTTGGGTTCCTAAACCCCTGGTGGGTAGTTCTCTAAATTAGGGTCCTTCTTGGGGTCCTTTTTTATAAGGGTGCGGTACTATAATTGGGGACCCAAAAAGGGACCCTAATTTAGAGAAGCACCCTGGCGACAAGGGGGTGCGGAGTCGTGGAACAATGTAGATTCAGTTTGTGGAGTTGCTCAGCAGTCGTGTGACGAGGACGACTATACTAAGTACGTGTAGACATTAACATAGTATATAGTAAATACGTCTTACCAATTATCCAGACCCCTATCCTGTGTTGCAGGGACCAGGTGCAGCTTCCAGACTAAGGGATATGATTCAGGATTTGGGGCTGTGAAGGGCTTGGAGTGTAGGGCTGAGAGGCTTGAAAATCCATTTGCGTTTGAGCTTTCTGCTTCTGTTGGGCTTTTGTCTGGCTTTCTGAACCCTCCTGGCAGTTGGATCGTTTGTGGGTTCATTCTACAGCCCTGTCTTGGTTTTCCCGTCTGTGAGACCCCACCGAGCCCTAAATCCTAAACCCTAAACCGTAAACCCCAAACCCCAAACCCCAAAACCTAAACCCTAAACCCCCAACCCTAAACCCTAAATCCTGAACCCTGAACCCCTAAACCCTAAACCCCCAAACCCCCAAACCCTAAACCCTACACCCCCATAGCTGCTGGAGCTTCCGGATGCGGGGTTTGGACTTCCGGGTGGGCACCGGTTGTGCTGAGTAAATTGGCCAGCTCTGGGTTTGGGTATTTCTGTTTCTAGCCATAGGCTCCTTAGTTCTTTTTTTGGGATTACCGTCTAATATTCTAGATATACTCCCCAAAAAGGAACTACTTAGGAGCCTATGGGTAGAGGGTGGCGTTGTGCTTGAGATCTGTCATCCCTACGAGGTCCGAGACTGAAAAACCCTAAGACCCTAAGCCGGCCCTGAGACCTAAACCCTATAAAGGAATTTAGGGTTTAGGGTTTAGGGTTTTGGGTTTCGGGTTTAAGGTTTAGGGTTTAGGGTTTTCGGAACCCAACCGCAATCCGGACATTCCCAGTCCAATCAAACCAATAATGATCGAAGGTGGTGCGAGTAATCATAGCAGAAGTAGTTGTAGCTGAAGAAGTAGTAATTAGCAGAGGTAGAAGTAGCAGTAGCAGTGGTAGTCGTCGTCGTTGTGGTCGTCGTCGTTGTGGTCGTCGTCGTGGTGGTAGTAGTAGTAGTAGTAGTAGTCGTTGTTGTTGTAGTTGTAGTTGTAGTAGTAGTTGTTGTTGTTGTAGTTGTAGTTGTAGTTGTAGTTGTAGTTGTAGTTGTAGCAGCAGCAGTAGTTAGCAGTACGACGACAACAACAGTCGTCGTGTAGGAGGAGGAGCAGCACCGGCTACAGTAAACTATGGAGCCATTTCAGCCTCTGTAGTCCTATAGTGGACTAGTCGGCACTGTGGCACCAAAAGGCCCCCCATGGTCGGGAGATTCCAGAAGGGCCTAGAGCAGGTATCAGCATCAGCAGACATGGTCGCCATTGGTTGTGTCTCGGATTGTGTGCCGAGTTGCCTCCAGAAATCCAGAGGAGTCAAGCAGTTAATATGTAGCATTCTGGAGAACCGAGCTTTTTCAAGCAGGTGGGCGACACAGAGAAGAGGGGCCTCCTCCGCCTCATGCGCATGGCCCACCCGGAGGGAGTGCGCAGCTCAATGTCTCAAGCCCGTCTTGGTGAACGTCTAGGCTGTCTTTTTGCAGTCATAGACCGCCTTGCACCTGCATCTGCCAGCTTCACATCGACAAGCCTCGCCATCCATCTTGGATCCCGAAGTGCGCCACGCAAAAGAAGGCGGGGCAACATGAAGGGCTGATGCCGACGAAGCGGACAACACACACACTCACACACACAGACCTGATCTCTTTTGTGTTGTACAGGACTACAGTGCTTTGCCCAGTGCGGCGTCCGGCCCCAAGACGGTGTTAAATAAGGCCATGGCCGTAAGAGGCAGCAGGCCACAGTGACATCTTCGATGCATGAGGTCCATGGCTGCAGCATGCATAGCCACTGCACAGTCAGCTTTGTGCCCGCTCACATTACCCCCTCCTGAGGCTCAGCATGATGCAGAAGTCTGCGTCCAGCCCTGCCCTACGCTGATGCCGTACAGAGCACTACTAACTCTGCAGCCCGGTCTCTCTTCGGGCTCTTTGATTTTAGCTCTCTTGCAGCATGCCTCTGTCCGTGTGAGTGAAGTGTTCGATCAGTCGTTGCAGAGAGACCTGGCTGCAAATGTAAGCAAGATTGGCGTTCTAGGCCACATGACTAGCCAGGCCTCTTGAAGAGAGGCTCCAGTCAGCCCCGATAAGAGACAGCTTTGACAGGACAAGAGGACGAGCACTTCTTGCGGTCATGTCAAAGCTGACCTCGAAGCTGAAAGAAGCGTTTCACCCGTACTGGTGGCTTTCAGAGCGTTTGACTTCTGCGTCCCGTCAAGCAGCCGCGCAACAGAGAGAGGGCTACGGGTCGGCAGGCTGAGCGCTTGAGACCTTCGAGTCGGCCATTCACGATCGTTCACGTTGAGGTGGCGAGACTTCAGCTCGGTGGTGAAAGACCCATCATCCCATGGATGTCTTTGCCGGAAAGCGTTCTATCAGCCGCCTGGCTCCTGGGTCCTAGGTCGGCCCTTCAAGAGCAATATTTTACCTTCAGGTGGCCTTTACCTAGCAGATCCTAGCAGAACTTCTTTCGGCATGTCAGGGAAGACCTCAGAGACATCACTTCGTGCAGTATGCACACCTCCAATCGAGCCATGCGGCACTGCGGTCGTTGCGCCGCCGACGAGCATCATGCTCGCACGCGCTGCAGACTGTGCTGCCCTCAGCCTGCGTCCCTGCATCGGCGGGTGGCGGACGACAGGATCAAATTTGATGGAGATGTTCCAGTGAATTACTGCTTCCTAGGCCGGGGTGGTCCCTTCGCGCTCGCCCGTCGTCTCAAACGCCTCAATGGCCCTTGGTCGCAGGCGGCAACAGTGAACTTGCTGTAAGCCTGTTAGCCACAGATCCTTAGCTGCAGACTACTGGACTGCTTTCTTCCAGGCTTTTAGCGTGCACTGCTAAGTAGTAGTCGGCATGGAGGCGATCCTCATCATGGCGGAGGAGTGCCAGCAAAAGGCCACGGCCTTTACCAACACTCTCTCGCTGGGCTTTGCTAAATGCTCAAATGCTCGAGAAATGAGCATGCACCATGGGCTCGGATTCGTGAACCACACTTCATCCTTCAAACCTGATCTCGCTCATGGCTGGCCAACTCCCGCCCAAGAGAGGACAGAGACGATGTCTCGTTCCCGTGTCCATGACAAACCCGGCGCCCAGAGTGTAGCAACGATTTCGAGCTCTCACAGCACTGCCCACTGCTGTGAACTCTATAGGTTTGGAGGAAGGCCCCCTTCAGGAGAAGCGTGACCGTGTGCTTGTGGTGGTTTGGTTCAACATGCTTACCTCAATTGCCGAACATTCCAGGTTTACCCGGATCTCGTTGTCTTCAACACGCTGCTGGCGGTGCTGGGCCGAAGCGGTGCTTGGGTGTCTTGGCTTGGATATCGCACGACGACGACGACGACTAACTGTTGCTGGTATCAACAACCAGACATCCTGCATCGCTTTTTGTAGACAGTTTTGTTCCCACGCAACCCCGAGTTCAATTTTGTGGAAGCCAAAGCGTCATGCAGAATGTTTATCATTCGTGCCTGCCCTGTTTCCAGTGGTTTCCGGCTCAATATTGAGACCAGGGGGTTTGCGGGAGGGGAGAATTATGTACAGAAAGCTTAGTGTTGAAGGGATACATCCTGTGCAACAATCAAAGGGGTGCGGGGAAGCCCAGCGTGGATCCTTAGGTTGACATAGATGCTCAGCAAGATTCAGCAAGTGATGCAGGTCTTTTGCCAGGGATCCTTGTTGACATAAGTGCTCACTGTTGGTTCTCGTCCTTCTACTACGACGACTACTGCTACAGCTTCGACTGCAGGTATAATGTCTGTATGTATGTATGTATGTATGTATGCATGTATGTATGCATGTATGTGTGTAATGTATGTGTGTAATGTGAGTAGTAAATAGATATACCGTTTGTAAAATACGTATGTGTTTATAGTCAGGCATGCATGTATACATGTATGTCCTTGTACATAGGTATGTACAATGCAGTAGATGTGGAGCTCTAGGTATAAGGCAGACAGGAAAAGGTTGTCTCCATGCACATATCTTAAACTTATACGGTGTATTGCAACCTGCTGTACACCAACGTGTGAAGGCACGACAGGATACAGTAGACATCGTCTTGCGGCCCAGGCGCGTGCGCACAGCATCACAGGCACACGCATACACAAATACTTAATACACACATACATACGTATGCACATTCATACATACACAGATACACATACGTACACACATGCGTGCATCTTTATCTATCTGTCTGTCTATCTATCTACCTACCTATCTATCTATCCATCCGTCTATCTGTCTATCTATCTAGCTGTCTATCTACCTACTTATCTATCTATCCGTCGATCGATCTGTCCCTCAAGCCACCTATCTGAGACTATCTATCCATCAATCTATCCATCTATCTACTTATCTATCTAGCTCTCTCTCTCTCTATTTATCTATCTGTCTATCCGTTCATCTATCTATCTATCTGTCTATCCATCCATCTATGTATCTAACTATCTGTCCCGGGGAGTGCGCTTATCCAGGCGTTTAACCAAAAAGGCATATAGAGTCATGTACAGGTACATATACACATGTACGCATGTACGTAATCACATGCAAACAAACAAGCACAGTTGAACAGAAGGCAACCAAACATCAACAAGGCACTCACTGAATTTACCGGCCACATGACCACAGTACTGGCTGCAATGCCAGTAGGTGCCGTCATCGTGAAATAGCTGAAAAAGTGCGAGTGTGTGTGTGTGCCTGCGTACATTTTTTCAGGCAACCCGACATAGCACTTTGACATTTCATCAACAGTATGATTGGATGGACGGATGGATGGGTGGGTCAATGATCAATGATTATATGGTTATATGTTTAACATGTAGGTGTGTGTATACATTTCGAGACACATGAAGATTGTTGCATAATATGTCACTGTATACATGCAGGTATGTACATACATATGTACATATGCATGCATGGATGTATGTATGTATTTATGTATGTGTCTGTGTATATGTGTGCATCCATGCATCTACGTATCTTGGTATGTAGGTATGTATGTATGTAACATATGTCTGTATGTATGTCTGTATGTATGTGTGTCTGTGTGTGTATGTATGTATGTATGTATGTATGTATGTATATATGTATATATATATAATATATGTATGTATGTATGTATGTATGTATGTATGTATGTGTGTATGTATGTATGTATGTATGTATGTATGTATGTATGTATGTAGGTGTGTACGTATGTATGTATTCATGTATGTACGTATGTGCGTATGTACATGTATGTATGTATGTACGTATGTATGTATGTACGTATGTATGTATGTATGTATGTATGTATGTATGTTACGTACGTACGTACGTACGTACGTACGTACGTATGTATGTATGTATGTATGCATGTATGTAACGGCTTCAGGGCTTAAAATTTTGCCAGTTGGGGTAGGTTTGGTGCAGTTAGGGAGGGTCCAGTCACCTGCGCCAAAGGTTGCAAGTCTCAGCGCGCTCTCAGCCGTTATGGCCGCGACCCTGAGGCCAAGTGGGCACGTAAATTGCTTGAGCCGGCGATGGAGTAGCTGCATGGGCAGGTAGGCGGTGGATGCAACATATCTCTCACACCTAGCCGGTACCTCTGACAAGGCCGGATATTATTTCGAGCAGCACGGCAATCAAGACGTTCACGGCAGGAACTCAGCCCCGGCCTCAGAAAGAATCTATTGTACGAGCATGGAGAAGCGTGTATGCGTGCCTGGAGATGACTTGGCCATCACCAGCGAGCCTTCAGGATTGTCTAGTAAGTCTAGTACCCAACCTAGGCCCAAAACCCTAAGCCCGAACTTGCTGCGACATCAAGGTGGCTCGAGGGGCTGGGACTCCTCCGTTCCGTGCAACAGGGCGAGGTGGAGCCAGACCTCATCGCAGCAGGCCCAGTGTCTGGCGGAATTGAAAGATCGGGGTCCTGGATAGCGGCTCTCTGCTGGGTGGCAGGGATGATCCCGGCATAGGGGTGGGCGATGGTGAAGGTGCCTGCAGGTTGTCTGCTGAAAATTGCCAAGGCGTTCAACTCCCTGATGACCAGCGCCTACAGAGGCTGCACGTTCATGCTTCACTTTGTCAGTGATAGAAAGTCAAAGGCATCGCGGCGTTTGTTTGTTAAAGGGCCCTAGCAATACAGAGCCTGACGAGCTCAGATTGCATCTTGCCGTCCCCGCCGGTCGACACATCATGGCTCAATGCACAGACTGGAGGAGATCTTGTTGTTGGTTTCACCGTTGCTGCTGGATGTTGCTGTGTGATTGTCGCCCAGATCCTTCGAGTCGATACAGAGAGGTTTTCATCGCCCACCTGCCCACCCCAGACCCCCTTCGAACTCGACGCCATCCACCATGCCAAGCAAGACCCAGCACACCTTCTCACAGCTGCAAACAGACGACGTACACAATTTCCCGAACTTCCTCGTACCGGCGACACTGGAATTGTCTTTGTCGCGTCTCACCTAGTTGTTTCTTCTCCTCCTCTCCTTGAGGATGTGACGTCGGTGTCTGCATAGAGCATAGAGCTTTGACCTTGGGAACATCACAACAGACAGACAGTCAACTCGGTTCAATCACAGCACAACCAGTGTTGACCCCATTGTGCCCTGCGCTATCTCTCTGCAGACACCGGCAAGGGGGCCCTTCCAGACCACTCCATCCAACGTAAGGGTATGTACTGCTTAGTCCGAGTTGGTGCAGTTTCAGCTGTTGGAAGGCAACGGGAGGGCCCCATTTGATTTCGGGACTATACCTATGACGCAGTAGGTATGAAGCATTTAGTACTGTAGTACGCAGGCCGGAGGGATCACAGTCTCGCATCCTGTCATGCTTCAGAGTCCAGAAGCCTCATGTGCCAAAACAGTTCGGACTTTTCACTACTTTGGGGGGTAGGATAGTATCTGTCTCCCGCAAACAAGACAGGGTTGCCAGGCCAAGAGTAGAAAGTGGAATAAAAAAATAGTTGCTTTCGGATATATATATATGTATGTATGTATGTATATGTATATGTATATGTATATGTATATAGGTATATGTATATGCATACATATTCTGTCTTGCAAACTATATGATTCTGGCCATGATTATATACTATATATATATGTACACATATCTATAACATATGATATATTATATATCATTGGACTGAATCACGGAAGCTTGGCCTGGCAGCCCTCTTGCAATCTTCCACCACGGCTGCGAGCCATGAAGCCCGAACCCGGGCACGACCAGATTCTTGGCTGCATTGTTTAGGATTTAACATTTATAGGGTTTAGGGTTTATTAGAAAACTCGCTTACTTGCGCTTAGGAACAGGATAACTTGGGCGTAAACCCAGCTCACGTCGGTACTAGGTAAGGCAAGGGGTTTGCGCCGCTGGCTCGACGACGACCACGACCACCACTACTGCTCACACGACGACGACGACGAC